AAGGATCCCTCATGGGGCGCAGCACTGACCACCAATCCGCCCCGCCCCACACCTGTCTGGACCCTCAGCGAGTGGCATCGCCGGCATAACTGACCTAGTGCTGGGAGCCAGACGCTAGTAGTCCTTTTAGGAAACAAAGAGGGAAAGCTGTGGCCCCTGTGAGGAGGGACTGGTCGCGGGGAGAGGACGGGACTCTTTGACGCGGCGGAGGGGTCCGGTGACGGCCCGGCGCCGCCATCTTTGGTTCAGTGCGGCGGCGGCGGAGTCGGTAACGGCAGCTGTGGTAAAGGAGGAGGAGGAGCCGAGCGGGCGCTGGCACTGACACGGACACTGGCACCGAAGCCTGACCATGGACGAGGAATACGATGTGATCGTGTTGGGGACCGGCCTTACTGTAAGTGAAACCTTAAGCGCTCTTCTCAGCACATCACGCCCTCTCCACCTCCGACGGCCGTGCGGACCTCGGCCGCGGGACCCATCTTCCCCATTATTGCTATGTTCCATTCGGGTTTCCGCTACCATGTCCCTGAATAGGGTCCGTCGCAGGCCGCTCTCTTCCAAACCCCTTCCCGTCCTTCTTACCTTGGCCTGTTGGACGAGAAAACTCACCCCCCACTCGACTCGAAGCCCCCAGACCCCGCCCACCTAGCCCCCACCCATCAGCTGCTTGACATCCCCTCCCATCATCCCCTTCCATCTTGTGTTCATCTCGGTGGGGATGAGGTCTGAAGCCACGGGGGTTGAGGGCCTTGCCTGGGTTGGCCTTCATCTTGCCTCTCTGGGGGGAGGGGGGGCAGGCACCCAGAGAATGTTCCAGAAGCTGCAACAGTAACCACATTCCTACTCCCCCACCCAGGTTTCCTATGGAGACCTCAGGCTGAATAGTATCTGCAGCCTTTGTCCTTGAGTTAGTGACAGTTACTGTACGGGTTGTTTATCTTTCTCTTTTTTTCCAACCCCCATTTTGGCTTGCTCCCCTGAGATTCATCTCCCTCATGCTGGACCCAGACACTTTTCCCATGAATATGGCCCAGAAGGCACAGCCAGGAGCTCCTGCCCTTTGAAAAGCAGCCCAGGGTGGGGCCTGAGATTTCAAGGACTGACCTAATCATCACTTCCCTTTCACTTGCCCTTTGAGGTGGGGATGGGTCTTTACCCTTGGCTGCCTGTCGTTTATCTGTCTTTTTGTGCTCCTCTAAGTAGATGACTTTCTTGCAGCTTGATGCTAGAAGACTGTGCTTGTGTCTGCTGCGTGTTTTCTCTCCCTCAGAGCTTCCATTGCTTCTCTTCTCTTCACCTCTTTGCTCAGCAGCATTATAAAAGAGATTGTGCTCAGAGGAAGTGATTTATTTCTCCTAATTTCAGTAGTGAACCGGGTGGGGTTGTGTTGAAAGAGCCGTCCATTTGGCTGGTTTGTGGTGAGCAACAAATCAAAGCTACTGATAGGAACATGGGCAGGAGGGAGTTAACAGCACAAATGTCACTCCTCCCCCAGGAATGCATCCTGTCAGGCATCATGTCTGTGAACGGAAAGAAGGTGCTGCACATGGACCGCAACCCCTACTATGGGGGAGAGAGCTCCTCCATCACACCTCTGGAGGAGGTAAGACTGCCTATTCAAGGCCCACGCTCAGCCTCTCACAGGGGCATGGGTCAGAGCAGCTCCTCAAGTTCTCAACAGGAATGTAGGAAGGGTAGTCCTCGAGGTTTTTCTCTTTTTCTTCCCTTCTGTTTACAGCTTTATAAGCGTTTCCAGTTGCTGGAGGGGCCCCCTGAGGCCATGGGCCGGGGTCGAGACTGGAATGTTGACCTGATCCCCAAATTCCTCATGGCCAATGGTGAGGAAGATAAAGGAGATATTGGAGTGGGGAGAGAAGGGGGGGCGGGGCTGGGAGGACCAAAGGAAGGCAGGCTCCAGAGCAGGGGCAGTCAGATCAGTGAGAGCTGCCAGAGGGAGCCATGTTGATGTTGCTTCTCCCCACTCCCCATCCTCCCACAGGGCAGCTGGTAAAGATGCTACTGTACACAGAAGTGACTCGCTACTTGGACTTCAAGGTGGTTGAGGGCAGCTTTGTCTACAAGGGAGGCAAGATCTACAAAGTGCCATCCACTGAGACTGAGGCCTTGGCTTCTAGTGAGTATGGGCCCTCTGAGCCAGAGCCAAACTTCCCTTTGCCCAAGGTCACATTCTGCACGTGTAGTTACCACAGGCCACTTGCTTTGCAGTTCCTCTATTGTTCTTGGTTGGCACAGCAGGTTGCCAGCAAGCAAATCTACAAGTAGAGGCAACACTGGTGGGGCGGGGGTGGGGGAGCGGGGAAGCGGGTGGAATCCTTTTTTAAAAAATGTCAGCTTTTGGCAAAGGTTCCCCTTTATCTCGAAACATCTCCAAGTGGTAGAGCTGGGAGAACTTTGTCCTGCCCAATCCTCTCTTTATGCAGATGGGTAAAGTGAGGCAAAGAACAGTAGAGAGATTAACCTCAGGTCAGGTGAAGAGCTCAGGTAGGAGCTAGGGCGCCCTCTTTTTTTTTTTTTTGTTGGTTGTGGGGGCTGAACTCTGGGCCTAGGAACTGTCCCTCAGCTCTTCAGCTCAAGGCTAGCACTCTACCACTTGAGCCACAGTGCCGCTTCCGGCTTTTTTCTGTGTATGTAGTGCTGAGGAATTGAACCCAGGGCCTCATGCATGCAAGGCAAGCGCTCTACCACTGAGCCACCTTCCCAGCCCCATGGCGCCTTCTTCCTTAGACTGCCCCGGTGGGGGTTTGTCAAGTGGTGCAGAGTCTTATGATTCCCTCTACAGATCTGATGGGCATGTTTGAAAAACGACGCTTCCGCAAGTTCCTGGTATTTGTGGCAAACTTTGATGAGAATGACCCCAAGACCTTTGAAGGTGTTGACCCCCAGACTACCAGCATGCGTGATGTCTACCGGAAGTTTGACCTGGGCCAGGATGTCATCGACTTCACTGGCCATGCATTGGCACTCTACCGCACTGATGAGTGAGGGGAAGCTGGTGTGGCGGGAACCCACTTGCCTCTCCCACACCCTGCCCTCCCCACACCTGCCTGCAGCACCTGCTCTCCCCCCTGCATGTACCTTGTGTTCACTGCAGGCTCACACGTTGCCTTTCCATCCTTCCCTGCATTCACTCCACATCTTTCCCAGCCCGTGTGGGGGGTGGGAAGGCTGCGCAGCTGCCTGGGTTAGGGTGTGTACAGATGCTGCTGCTGAGCCTCTTCCCTGATTCCTATCCTCCAGCTACTTGGATCAGCCCTGTCTTGAGACTATCAACCGCATCAAGTTGTACAGCGAGTCATTGGCCCGATATGGCAAGAGCCCATATTTATACCCACTCTATGGCCTGGGTGAGCTTCCCCAGGGCTTTGCCAGGTGAAGACAAACTTTTGTTTCAGTTGACATGATTACTTAGGACTAAGGCCGAAAATGGAAATGGGCTCTTTGAGCATTCCTGTAGTGTTTCATACTTGGTATTTGTGATCTTCATTTCCTGCTCCTCATTCCTGGGTGATGGGGGGGCGGGGCACAACCCTAGTGTGTTGAAGTGCAGAGTCAAAGACAGTTCTCCATAGACATGGCTTGCTCAGCTTCTGGAAGCACTAGCACTGGGCCATTTCTTTTTTTTTCTTTTTCTTTTTTTTTTTTTTTTTTGGGTCCAGTCGTGGGGCCTGAACTCTGGGCCTGGGTGCTGTCCCTCAGCTCTTCAGCTCAAGGCTAGCGCTCTACCACTTGAGCCACAGCGCCACTTCCGGCTTTTTTTTTGCTTATGTGGTGCTGAGGAATCGAACCCAGGGCCTTAAGCATACAAGGCGAGTGCTCTACCACTGAGCCATTGGGCCATTTCTTGTGGAATTGTTCCTTCATGCTACCCTCACTAACCCTTTGCAGAATATTCTGGGTAGAAGCTCCAAAGAAGCTGGAGATGGCTCCTGAGTTTATAGCAGTGAGAAATCTGGGATGAACTACTGGATTTTCTGACTTCCTCCTGCTTCTTTTTGGTTGTTGGTGGTGGTGGTTGTGGGGCTTGAACGCACTGGGCCTGGATACTGTCCCTGAGCCTATTTGTGCTTAAGGCTACTGCTCTAGCACTTGAAGCCACAGCACCACTTCCAGTTTTCTGTTGGGTAATTAGAGATTAACGTTTCATGGGCTTTCCCACCCAGGCTGGCTTTGAATCAGGATCTTCACATTTCAGGCTCCTGAGTAGTTAGGATTACAGTTGTAAGCCACCAGCGTCCGGGTGGGGCAGTCTTTTTTATACCTCAGTGGTGGGTGGGTAGGGTGCAGTGGAATTGGTCCCTGTTGTTCTTGGGAGTGGGATTCTGCTATCCTCTTCCTACAGATTGAGTGCCATCTATGGGGGAACATACATGCTGAACAAACCTGTGGATGACATCATCATGGAGAATGGCAAGGTGGTAGGCGTGAAGTCTGAGGGAGAGGTAAGCCTTCCATGTGCAGTGATGTTACTGTGCTTGGGGAAGAGTTTGGTCACCTGCTTTGTGACTCTGTTCCCAAGGAGCCTGAAGGCTGCTGTGTCTGCTGATGTTCAGCCCCAAGGACCTCAGAGTGGAGAACTAGATATTCCAAAGGAAGTCTGCATAGCCTTTCCTCTTGGCAGGATGTACTTCTCAAAAGCCCCATGCTATGTCTATCATCAAGAAAATAATGTGACTGAGCCTAGGCTGACGCAAGGAGTATTGTGAGTTAGAGGCCAGTTAGGATACATAGTAAATATTGTCTTTAAAACAAACAAAATCCCAAAGCATTATTGCTCATAGCTCCAGCAAAAAAAAGTGCTGGGGCTGCAGAGAAGGGCCATGTATTATAGGAGCAGCAGTGGTGACAGCACAGAGGAACACTACCTGTTCTCCTTGTGGGTCAGACCTACTGCCACCCAGGGCAAGGAGTGATCCAACAAGAACAAGGTTTGTGGTGCCTTCACAGATGGCCCGCTGCAAGCAGCTGATCTGTGACCCCAGCTATATCCCAGACCGTGTGCGGAAAGCTGGCCAGGTGATCCGCATCATCTGTATCCTCAGCCACCCCATCAAGAACACCAATGATGCCAATTCCTGCCAAATCATCATCCCTCAGAACCAGGTTAACAGGAAGTCAGGTAGGCCAGACCAGAACATAACTTACCTGTTTGTTTTTTTTTGCCAGTCCTGGGGTTTGAACTCAAGCCTGGGTGCTCTCCCAGAGCTTCTCTGTGCTCAGGGCTAGCACTTTACCACTTGAGCCACAGCACCACTTCGGGCTTCTTCTGTTTATGTGATACTGAGGAATGGAACCCAGGGCTTCATAGCATGCTAGGCAAGCACTACCACTAAGCCACATTCCCAGTTCCAGTCCATCACTCTTCAGGGTGGTTGTGTTCGCCCTATCAGCTTTGGGGCTTCCTGTGCCATCTTGTAAGGAAACAAGTTGCAGTTACTGTGACAATCCCTAGGGATAGGATGGCTTGACCCATAACACTCCATGAAAGTGACAGCTTTGATACTCTGTGGCTCTGGGGAGGGGCCAGTGGGCCAGAATCATATCCAGCCCCTAGGACCCTTCTTTACATGTAGCTGTTTTCTCTGGCCAGACATCTACGTGTGCATGATCTCCTACGCACACAACGTGGCTGCCCAGGGCAAGTACATTGCCATTGCCAGCACCACAGTGGAGACTGCAGAGCCAGAAAAGGAGGTTGAGCCAGCATTGGAGCTGTTGGAGCCCATTGATCAGAAGTGAGAGCTGGGCTGAACCTGGGGCTGAAGAGGGGAGAGAGGAGGGGGAGAAGGGCAGTGAGAGAGGGGAGCCTCAATGGTAGGTGTGGAGACCAGGAAGGGCAAGGGCCTGTGATGAGTCTTCTCCATTCCCCTCCCCTTTGTCTGCCCCCTCAGGTTTGTGGCAATCAGTGACTTGTATGAGCCCATTGATGATGGTTCGGAGAGCCAGGTAAGAAGCCTATCCCCAGCCCTGGCTCTGGCTGCCCACCCAGGGACTTGGTCCCCTGACTCACCCTGGGCTGTTTGCAGGTGTTCTGCTCGTGCTCCTATGATGCCACTACACACTTTGAGACAACCTGCAATGACATCAAAGACATCTACAAACGCATGGCTGGCTCGGCCTTCGACTTTGAGAATATGAAGCGCAAACAGAATGATGTCTTTGGAGAAGCTGACCAGTGATTGCCCCGCCCTCCCCTGCCCCAGCATCCTCTGCTTCCCCCACCACATGCCCATCACCCACCTCATTGATTCACTGACCAAATCTTTAACCTTAGCGATGGTTTGGGAGATGGGAGTTGGATAGCATCCTCTTTCTTGGCCCTTCCTTATCCTAGGAAAAGAGGATTCCTCTCCTTGCGTATGTCTCCCTCCCCCTCCCCCATTCTTCTGCTCTGTTTGGGAAGGACGTGGAGGAAACGCTGACTTCTGCCTGCACTGCTCTTACCCCCACTGTAGTGGCCTTTGGAGATGCTCCCTGCCTCCCCCCCACCAACTCTTGCGTGTTGGGAGAGAAGGGGCCCTCCCAGCACAAAATTGCATTCCTTCCCCTAATTTATTCTAATTTATTAACTGGCCTGCCCTGTCTGAGCCCGAAGCCTTCTGGTGCAGCCTGGGGGCTGTTGGAATGAGCTACCCTATCCCCTTCCAGCCTTGGCCAAGCCTAGGAAAGGGGAGGTTTAGGTGTGGCCCCTTGGAGGTTGATCTTTCTGTTTTTATTCCTTGTCTTAGTGTTTGTGTTCTCTGGTACTTGCTAAAAAAATGTGAGCAAAGCAGAAGGAGGTGGGAAAATGGACCCAGACCCACGTGCCCTGCCCCATGCCTTTCCTTTATAGTGGTGGGAAACCCTTATCTTGCAAAGTGACTGTGTCTCCTTCCCCAAACTCTAGTGTGTTTCACAGGAAACAAAACCTCTCAATAAAACTGTTTGAAACCTGAATCTGGATCTTTAGATTCATTTCCTAAAAATTAGGTGCTTGGCAAGGCCTTGGTTCCCTGTGCTGGGGGGGTCTGGCTTAGCCACTGGCATCAATCAGGACTACATCCTCAGGTCAATGCAAGGAAAGTAAGAGGACCAACAACTGGTCTGTGTGTGTGTTTGCACAATTAGCCTCTGGGTCAATAGGAGGCATCAGTGTGTGGCAGTGTGTCATTGCCATCCCAACACTGGTGGGAGGGGGTTATGCAGGAGGATTGTGAATTGAGGGCCAGCCTGAGCTACATGGGGAGACTCTACTTCAAAAACAAAAAATAATTGGCCAGCCTTAAAACCATAAAGGAGGGGTGCTGGTGCATCCACTTAGGATAAGGGTTAATTTTAACATCAGGGAGCAGAAGTGCAGGAAGCCTAGGGCATAGACTTGTATCAGGAGGCGAGGCAGGGCAGGGCAGGGCAGGGCGCCAGTGGCTCATGCCTGTAGTAATACTATCTACTCAGAAGGCTGAGATCTGAAGATCGGAGTTTCAAACCAACTCAGCAGGAAAATCTGAGAATTTTGACTCCAATTAACCAGCAAAAAGCCGGAAGTGGCACTGTGGCTTAAGTGGCAAAGCGCTGGCCTTTTGCTGAGGGACAGCGCCCAGGTCCTGAATTCAAGCCCCAGGACAGGCATACCAAAAAAAAAAAGGCAGGAGGAGCTTGCCAACTTCTCAGGCTATAGGAATCACGTGTTCCAGTCACGTGCTAGTAGGAGGGCTTGAGGCGGGGCCGCGCATTTCCCGGTGGCAGACGTCACGCATCAGCTGACTTAAGGGCTGCCACCACCAAGACTCAACACAGGCCGCTGTCACAGTCTCCGGAGCTGCCGCCATGGCTCAGTACAAGGGCGCCGCGAGCGAGGCGGGTCGCGCCATGCACCTGATGAAGAAGCGGGAGAAGCAGAGGGAGCAGATGGAGCAGATGAAGCAGCGGATTGCAGAGGTGCGGTCCGGGGCCCAGGAGCATCAGATCAGGCATGCGTGCGGCGCGGGCCCCCTAGTGGCGCCGCGCGAGCCCCCTGGTGGTACCGCGAGATTTAGTTGTAGCAGTGCCCAGGCGACAGGCTAGGAGAGCTTGGTGGGCGGGGCCGGCGTCAGGAGCGGGACGCTTGCCTGTAGACCTCCAGTAGGTGACAGAAGCTAGCCGACCAGTCTCATCTGGAAAATGGGTCCAGAGTTGGACCCTACCTATCAGAGTGTGAGACAGCTATAAAAGTTCTCCAGGAGAAGGCTCTGTTTTATTGGTGGCACTAGAACCGGACAGGCCTCCTGGCGCCCTTCATCAGTACTCAGCTGCCTGGGTTCAGGTTTCCGGCCCTCAGAGCCAGACCTCCACCTGTGTCCAGTACATACCACAGGAAGCCAGGGGTAACCCTTTGTGCGTTCACCAAGGTAGGCGCGAGGCTGTCCAGTGCTCTAGGGATGAGCTGATGACAGTGGCTGAGTGATGCAGGACCAAGGAGCCCTCAGCATGAACATGAACACACCAGAGGTTTGGGGCTTCAGGGCGCAGCAGGCCCCTACCTCACCTCAGATAAGTGGGTAGCCAGGCCCAAGAAACGAGCTCTCAGGTTACTTTTTTTTTTTTTTTGGAGGGGCGGGGGTAGGTCATGGGACTTGAACTCCAGGCCTGGATGCTGCCCCTGAGTTCTTCAGCTCAAGGCTAGCGCTCAACCACTTTGACCAGCATCACTTCTGGTTTTCTTGGGGTTCATTGGAGATAAGAGTCTCTCAGACTTTCCTGCCTGGGCTGGCTTTGAACTGAGATCCTCAGATCTCAGCCTCTTGAGGAGTTAAGATTACAGACATGAGACACCGATTTGTTTTATGCTTGACACAAAGTCTTCTAGCTCTGGCCCCATTGAAAGTGGAGAGTTTCTGGCAAGTTGAAGGTTTTTTTTATCTTCTGGTCACTTGGTTTAGAGACCTCAGTGAGAGAAGGACCTATACATAATATGGCTAGTCTGAGGAGGAGAGCTCCTAGGAAGCTGTTGGCAACACCTGAAGCCAGAAGAAGGAAAATCACATATGAAGGACTGGACCCTTCAGTCATTCTTTTCTCTTTTGTCCTCTCCTGACCTCCTCCACCCACCCATCTTGGGTTTCAGAAGCTTCAACTTTAAAGGCTTGGTATGAAAAAGTCTACAGCTGTGAGGTGCTAGTGGCTCCTACCTGTAATCCTTGCTACTTAGGAGGCTGAGATCTGAGGATCACTCTTCGAAGCGAGCAGAGGCAGGAAAGTCTGAGAGACTCTTATCTCTAATTAACCATCCAAAAGCTGAAAGTAGAGCTGTGGCTTAATAGCAGAACACTAGCCTTGAGCAAAAAGAGCTTAGGGACATTGCCCAGACCATGAGTTCAAGCCCCAGACTGGCACCTAAAACAAAAGGCCAGACTTAAGTAGGACTAATGGTTGTAATGCACTGAGGGAGCTCTGAGCCCAAGCTAGAGCATGAAGGGGCTAGAGCAGTTCAGGGACGCATGGGGAATGACCCCATCTGGCTGTGTTGGCACTGGAAGTGCCCTCCCCCACCAGCTGCCAACCTCATGGACCCTTCTACCTACAAAGGAGAGAGGGACATGGGGCATATCTTTTCCAAGATTACACCATAGCATGCCTGCTGTCAGATCCAGGACTAGAAGCTAGGTTCCCAGCCGTCCGTCATTTCCACAGTGGGGTGGCCCTCACTGGCATGCTCCCTCCCCTACAGGAGAACATAATGAAATCCAACATTGACAAGAAGTTTTCTGCACACTATGATGCTGTGGAGGCGGAGCTCAAGTCTAGCACCGTGGGTGAGCAGGGCGCACATGCCAGCCTCTCTCATGCCCAGAGGATGCTCATTTGCTGGCCCTAGTTGTCCAATCCTTCCCTCCATGTCTTCTTGCTTCACAGGTCTTGTGACCCTAAATGACATGAAGGCCAAACAGGAAGCACTCGTGAAGGAGCGGGAGAAGCAGCTAGCGAAGAAGGAGCAGTCGAAGGAGCTGCAGCTGTGGGTTCTCTCCTTTGCCTCTCAGTGGCAGCCCCTCTCCTCAAGATTCAGCTCCATCTTGGGAACTCCTAGGGGAGGGGCAGACTAGACTTCTCCATGGGGATGGGGGAGCACCATTTCTACTCTGGGAACAGGTGTAGCATTTGTTTGGGTCTATACTAGTTTCCTCACTTTCCTCTTCTAATCCTTCTTTGTATCCCTCTGTGTCCTTTCCTTCCACCAAGTTCCTTCACAGCCTCTGTTTTCTTTCTTCCATTCCTCCTGTGGCCCTCTGTGTGTGTTGTGTGGTGGTCAGCACTCTCCCTATTAGCTGGAAGGGACTCAAGGCAGGATTCCTCTGAGGTGCTGGAGGGATCCAACCTGTGCTGGGTGGGCTCCATACTGAACCCAGAGGTGGCCCTGGGTCAGCGAAGGGACTTTAGGCTGGAGGTATGGGGTTTCATGGCTCCCCATACTTTGGTAGGAAGCTAGAGAAGCTTCGAGAGAAGGAGCGCAAGAAGGAGGCCAAGCGGAAGATCTCTAGCCTGTCTTTCACGTTGGAGGAAGAAGAGGAGGGAGGCGAAGAAGAAGAAGAGATGGCCTTATATGAGGAGGAGCTGGAAAGGGAAGGTGAGGGCCTTGCCCACCACAGCTTCACCAGGACTTTTGGCTGTAAAAGGCACAAGTATCTTCACTGTGGAGCAGGAGAGGAGCACAGGGGACCTAGACTGTATCCTTCTTGAAAGGATACCAGTGGGCTTCCCCTCAAGTATCGAACGGGATGTCACAAATTTAGAGCATACCCTACAGCTCCTGCATAGGAACCATCTGTGTGAGAGGTTGTTGCAGTGAGGCTGGTGACTAGAAAGGTCTGGAAGCCGCCCCTGGATGTGTCGTGTAGGCTGGATTGGGGTAGTCTGGACCAGGTTTGGCGGCTTGAACTTTCTGAAGTAATAGAAATGTTTCCCTCTTGCCATAGGGGCTATAGTTCACCATACATTTTAATTTTTATTTTGTGTGTGCTGGTACAGGAGCTTGAACTCAAGGCCTTGTGCTCTTGCTTGGCTTTTTTTCTGCTCAAGGCTGGCACTCTGGCACTCTACCCCTTGAGCCACAGCTCCACTTCTGGCTTTTTTGGTGGTTAATTGGAGATAAGAGTCTCATGGACTTTCCTGCCTGGGCTGGTTTCGATCCGTGGTCCTCAGATCTCAGCCTCCTGAGTAGCCACGATTACAGGTGCCTGGTTAGTTCACCATAAATTTCTACATTGTATTTAACCCAGCTGTATAAAAAACACTACCATTGCAGCTTGTTGAGCTAGGTTCAGGTCTAGTGCTAGGGGCTGTGTGCAGCAGGAGCTACAATTTTGTTTACTATTACCTTACGTACGTTATACAGAGAAGGATATCACTATGAGGCCGCTATTTTGGACTGCACAGGCCTAGAAGAAAGCCTGTCAACTTCACTGTGTGTCACTGGTTTAAGACAGGTCCTTGCTGTGAAATGCAGGGAATATGCTGTCATGCGAGGCTTCTTGGGATTGTTCCTCCTCTCTGGAGATTTCATTTTAGTAACCCCATAGTGGGACCCTTTTTGAAAATTTGTGCTTGTCTTCTAGGTCAGCATTTCTCAAAGCATGCTCTAGGCACCTAAGGGTCCGAGAGACCCTTGTAAGGGGGTCCTTGAGATCAAAACCACTTTGAGAATAATGCTGACATTCTTTGCTTCTTTTGCTCCAGAGATCACCACCAAGAAAAGGAAATTGGGGAAGAACCCAGATGTGGACACAAGCTTCCTGCCTGACCGAGACCGGGAGGTAAAGGCTGCCTGGCTCAGGCTCTGATATTGATCTGACCTGGTCCTTGGCCATGAATGAGGCTCTGGCTCAGGAAGTGGGGGGCAACCCTGAGCCTCACTGCTTCACCTGCTTTCTCTCTTCCTAGGAAGAAGAGAATCGGCTCCGGGAAGAGCTGCGACAGGAGTGGGAAGCCAAGCAGGAGAAAATCAAGAGTGAGTGCTGGCAGTGATAGACAAGAATGGCCTACTCCTGGGGTCCTGGGGCAGGAAGAGAACAAGGTTGAGGCCCAAGTGGTCCTTCTGCTACCAATCCCCTTGGCTACGTGCTGGAGCCTGTGGAAGCTGGACCAGGGAGGTTGGCGGGGGTGGTGCCTGGATCTGGAGCCCAACAGGCAACTCTGCTTTGTAGGTGAGGAAATCGAAATCACCTTCAGTTACTGGGATGGCTCTGGGCACCGGCGGACAGTGAAGGTAGGCAGTGGCAGACCTCCCTTGGGTTTGGTGGAAGTGACAATCATGCCTTTGGAAGCCGCTGGGGTCCTGAGCACAGCAGGGAGGATGCGAGCCTCCAGGCCCCTGGCTGGTCGAGGGGGCTTCAGGTTTTTGTCTTCCTTCCCCCTCCCTCCACCAATAGATGAAGAAGGGGAACACCATGCAGCAGTTCCTGCAAAAGGCACTTGAGATCCTGCGGAAAGACTTCAGTGAGCTCAGGTAAGGGGGATGTGAGCCTGTGTGTGCAAATGCGCACAACCCATGGCTTCAGCCAGGTGATCCGACACCCAAGAGGACTGCTTCCCAACTGGGAAGGTGGCATGCTGGGCCCTGTGCTCCCCAGAGAGGAGAGTCAGTCACATGCCTTTTTCTTCCTTCCTGCTCTAGAGCGTAGGTGGGAGCGTCCTGCCTTGGAGCTGTGGCCCAAAGGTGGAGGACACTGGAGCCCCGTCCTAGGCTCACTGAGCCAAAGAGCCTCCCTCACAGTATTCTGGCTGCCTCCTCCCAGCCCCTTGCTCCGTGACTGCCTGGGGATGCTCTGGTTGGCCATACCCTCCTGTGTTTCTCCCTCAGGTCAGCAGGGGTGGAGCAGCTCATGTACATCAAGGAGGACTTAATCATCCCCCATGTGAGTCCTGGTGGCCCTGGGTCACACAGTGGGTGCCGCACCCCTGCGCGTCTGAAGGAGAGGTCCCACACGATTCTGTGCTCTCCCAGGGCTGCTGGTCATAGAGGGCAGGGTGGGGTACAGACAGTGAGAGAGGCTGAGGTGAGCCATGAAGCTGACTTCCTGCCCTCATGTTCTAGCATCACAGCTTCTATGACTTCATCGTCACTAAGGCCCGAGGAAAGAGTGGTGAGTGCATCTAGCTCAGATCCCGCCCACAACAGGTGGGGCCCAGTATGTGGGGAGATAGCATAACCTTGCTCTCTCCTGCAGGACCACTCTTTAACTTTGATGTTCATGATGATGTGCGACTGCTCAGCGATGCCACTGTGGAGAAGGATGAGGTACGGTGATGCCAGGGCACTGGGCAGAGAAAGGTGCCTTGAGTCTGGTAGAGCAGGTGTCCTTAGCCTGGGGAAGACGAAGCTCAGGAAGGAACCTGAGATTTTTGAGGTTGACCTCAAAATCTTCTCCATTCCTTAGTCACACGCAGGCAAAGTGGTGTTGAGGAGCTGGTACGAGAAGAACAAGCACATCTTTCCTGCCAGCCGTTGGGAGCCCTATGACCCTGAGAAGAAGTGGGACAAGTACACGGTGAGCTGGCAGGGAAGTGAGCCTCAGGAGGCCCCTCTGAGGGGTCCCAGTACTGCCCTGGGTAGCTCGTGGTGGAGGGCAAGACTGAATCTGCTTCTCAGTGGGGTGAGCGCCTTTTCCTGCAAAAGAACCAGAACTGTAGGAGGCTGACGCAAGAGGATTGCAAGTTTGAAGCCAGCCTGGGCTAACTAGAGAGACTCTGTCTTAGAGGAAGAAAAAAAGATAAAGAACCAGCCAACCTTACACCCATAATCCCAGGTACTCAGGAGGCTGAGATCAGAGGCTTATGGCTCAGAGCCAGCTGAGTATGAAAGTAAATGCATTCGACTCCTAATCTCCAATGAACTAACAAAAATCCAAATAAAGCGGGGCACCGGTGGCTCACGCCTGTCATCCTAGCTACTCAGGAGGCTGAGAACTGAGGATCACGGTTCAAAGCCAGCCCGGGCAGGAAAGTCCATGAGACTTTTATCTCCAATAAACCACTAGAAAACCGGAAGTGGCGCTGTGGCTCAAGCGGTAGAGCACTCTCCTTGAGCTGAAGAGTGAAGGGACAGCACCCAAGCCCAGAGTTCAAGCCCCACGATGAACAATGAACAATCCAAATAAAAATAAAAATAGCGGGGGAGGGCTGGGAAGGTGGCTCAGTGGTAGAGCGCTTGCCTTGCATGCATGAGGCCCTGGGTTCGATTCCTCAGCACCACATAAGCAAAAAGAAAAAAGCCGAAAGTGGCGCAGTGGCTCAACTGGTAGAGCGCTAGCCTTGAGCTGAAGAGCTGAGGGACAGCGCCCAGGCCCAGAGTTCAGGCTCCACGACCAGACCCAAAAGAAAAAAAAAAAAAGAGAGGCTGGTAGGTATGGCTCAGTTGGTAGACTTCTAGCCAATGAACAGAAGCATCAGGTACTGATTTTGAGTCATGGTCTCAGACCTTTAAAGGAAGTTAAATAAATAAAGCCCAAAGTGACATGTCAGATAGCTCCTGTTTACTTTCTGCCTTATGTTCCTTGTTCTCTGTACCTCCCCCTTGTCCTCCAACCAGATCCGGTGAGCATCCACGAGGAGGCATGGTCTCAGCTCTACCCTGCACAATCCCATGTTTCCAGGACTACAGGTGCCTAGTTCCCCTGGGATTGTGCCACAGCTTTGAAGATGAAAGTTGTCCATATCCTGGTACCTGGTGTTGCTATTACTGCCTTTTTCTTTTACAATAAAGTCTATGTCAGAGCTGTAGTATCTGCATTGTGAGAAAGTGTTTTATTTACAAACTTTTTCATTGCGATAACATTCACATAAAATTATTTTATTGGGCATGGTGGTGCCCACTCAGGAGGTTAAGGCAGGAGGATTACAAGTGTGAGGAGGCAGCCAGATGCCAGCCAGATGCCCATAACTCACGCCCGTAATCCAGCCGTGAGCACAGCTAAGCCAAGTGAGAACATCAGGCATTAATCCCAGCCCCTGTACTGGCACCAAAAAATCAATTATATTCCTATAGCAATGAACAATCCAAAGCAAAATTTCAGACTTACCCTAAAATTCATTTGGAAATGCCAGACCCCAAACACTTGAAAAAGATAAAACTTAGAAGATTCATCATTCCTACTTTCAAAAAATAACCATAAATGGCTGGGAAGGTGGCTCAGTGGTAGAGCGTTTGCCTTGCATGCCAGAGGCCCTGGGTTCGATTCCTCAGCACCACATAAGCAAAAAGAAAAACAAAGCCGGAAGTGGTGCTGTGGCTCAACTGGTAGAGCGCTCGCCTTGAGCTGAAGAGCACAGGGACAGCGCCCAGGCCCAGAGTTCAAGCCCCACGACCGACAAAAAAAAGAAACTGGCTCAGTGGTAGAGTGCTTCCCTTGCACGCATGAGGCCCTCCATTCCTCAGCACCACATAAACAGAAAAAGCTGGAAGTGGGGCTGTGGCTCAAGTGGTAGAGCACTAGCCTTGAGCTGAAGAGCTGAGGGACAGTGCCCAGGCCCCACAACCGCAAAAAAAAAAAAAAAAGACAAAACAAAACAAAAAAAACCCCGAGGCAGCAGGATCAATAGTTTGAAGCCAGCCTAGGCTATGTATGAGATGCTGTCAAGAAGGGAAAAAAAAGCCAGATGCAGGTGGCTCACATCTATAATCCTAGCTACTCAAGAGGCTGAGATCTGAGGATCTCAGGTCCCAGTCGTCCTGACTGACAAATCTAAGAGACTCTAAATAACCAGCAAAAAGCCAGAAATGGAAGTCTGGCTCTCGTGGTAGTGGACCAGGCTTGATAGAAAATATCCCAGGCTGTGGGTGGAGGCTCTTGAGTTCAAGTCTCAGTACTAGCATACATACATAAACACACACACACACACACAAACAACAACAAATTTGCCCACAATTGTTTCTAGCCGCATTGTACACAACCAGAAGGTGAAAACAATCCAAATCTTCACCAATTGATGAACAGAAAAATAAAATGTGGTAGATCCATGTAATAGAATATTATTAGCACGCAAAATGAAGTCTCGATTCATGTTACAAGGTACTGGGTAAACCTGAAGACATTAAATGAAATAACAGACATCACACACACATACACACACACACACACACACACACACAGAGAACAGTTCCATTTATTTGAGATGTTCAGATAGGTAACTCCATAGAAAGAAGTGTTGATCTGGGCTCTGGGGGGAGCAGGAGGGGGAATGGAGAGTGATTCACTAACTGGTACTGGGTTTCTTTTGGGGATGATAAAAAAATTGTTCTGGGATTAAGTAGTAGGAATGGTTGTGCCGTTATATATATACTACAAGGCACTGATTTGTATGTATACACTAAATGAGTAAGGTATAATGGGTGATTTATATCTCAATGAAGCTGCTTAAAGAGAAAAAAGACAGCAAAGGAATAAACTCCTTGGGAGTCAGGGTTCAGTGGCTGGCCCTCAGGAGAAGGATCTGGGTGTGAATCGCGAGGTATTTACTTGTTATTAGCCTCAGGCCCTGAGTGTTTTGTCCGGGTAGACTGGAGAACGAGGATGGGGAGTCCTTCGCTGGCGTGGGTGTGCACAGCCCTGGACAAGGGAGACCGCGCACCCGCAGCAGGTGGCCCCGAGCGCGTCTCCAAGAGCCTCCAAGAGCCGGGGCAGAGCGGGCGCACGCCCCGGGTCGCCTGGAGGTGTGGCGCAGACGAGTGCGGGTTCCCGGTGTGGCCCGAGGCAGCGGGCGGGCGGGAGCTGCGGGGTGTCGGGGAGGCGCGCCACCGCGGACGCGGCCATTGAGCGAAGGGGGTCAGTTTGCAGGGCGGGCTCCTTGGCGGCCCATGGCGGACCAGCGCTGTGTACTGGGCTTCCCAACCCTGGGAAGAATGGCTCGCTCCTCCACGCGCCCTGCTGCTCGGACGCCCCCAGCAGGCCTTCCCTGGGCGCCCCCGCCGGGCGCGGTGGTACGGTCCGGGTTTAAAAGGCCCGATGGTCGCGGGCCAGCCCAGTGTGTGGGCGGTGGCGGCTGCGGGGCGCGCGGCACGCGGGGCAAGGCAACGGGGGCGCGCGAGTGGGGCCAGTGTGGGGCACGGGGGCGCGTCCACGTGGCCGGCGGGACGGTCACCCGGGAGCCGGCCGTGGCGGAGGGACAGGTAGGTGGCTGCCACTCCTGCTGCCCGGGCAGGGGCAACCTGCTCGGTGATGGCCGGGGCTCAGGCAGCCTGGGGGTCCAGTTCTGCCTTTCAGGGGTCAGGCCCCGTCGCTGCCCCTTCAGCGCCGGCCTCCCAGACCCTCTGTGCCCTGAGCGAGTAGGGACGGCCGAGCGGAGCCAGGACCCTCGCCGGATAGGACCCTTTGTAGAGGAGCAGCAGCGCCTACCAGCATTGCTGGAACACCTCCATCCACTAATGTCTCCGGGGTCTGCTAAGGGGGTGCCCCTGGTGGGGGGCAGGGCGAGCTGGGCCCGCATTGGGGGCCAGCATTGAGGAGTGGGCTTTGGACGTACGTGGCTCTGTGGGGCTTTCTCCACCGACATGCTCGCTCTCTGCTGGCAGGGATGGAGCACCGGGGCTGGGTGTGCCTCTGATGTCCGAGGTCCCCACTTGGTAGTGGGGGCTGGGTTGGGCTTTGGGGGTGCAAACCCTGCCTCTCCAGGTCTCCCTCCGAACCTTTCCCTGGCCCCTTCCTTGATGTGTGCTCCAGCAGGCGGTGAAGGAGGTGAGAGCAGGATGCCGCGCTCGCTCGTTTCTTTGGCCTTCCTTTCTTCTCTGGCTGTTGCATTAAGGGGCCAAGGATGCAGACCTGACAAAAGAGCCCCAGAGACATGATCAATCTGATCGGAAACTTTGCTTTCCAGCTGGGCTGGCTCCCTGTCCTAGCGAACGCTTGTTTTCCTTTCTCTTTGCTTCCTCCTTTGGTTTCCCACATGCCCCCACACCCCACGGCTGAGTACCTCCTGTTTTCCTTGGGGCTTGGACACCAAGAGGGTGGCACTGAGCTCCGTCCCATTGGTTGCCGCAACCGTGCTCCGCTGTCTTTGCAGCCCGAGGCTGCCTGGGTGTGGCCTGGGGGCAAAGTGCCAGCCCTGGCTCAATGCCTGTGGCCCCTACCCCGTATCCCCAAGGTTTCCACTGTATTTGGGAGTGTTGCTTCCCAAACACCAGTTCTTGAGACTCTCGATGGTGGAGTGCCCTCCCCCCATTCCCCTCTCCTTCCCTAACAGCCTCTGAATCTGCATGGAGAGCTCCGTAGGCCAGCCTGGGCATCTGTCTGGCTGTGCGAAGCTTGACTTATGTCTGTCTGGAGCAGAGATGAGGGGGTGGTGGAAGGTGCATTTCAGCTTTGTGTTGCAGCTGGGATGGTCAGACAGCAGCCCTGGACAGACCCAAGACTCTCGGAGGAAGGAAGCGCCTCAGACCAGGATTGGGAACTGTGGTGGCATTAAAGCCAGTCTCAGGCCTTGATTCCCCAGCACAGGGTTCCTGGTGGTGGTAGCACTGGGGGGGGGCATCCTCACTCTCTCCCCTGGCTTGTGATTGTTCTCCCTGCCTTTCCCTTTCCCTTTCTCCAGCTCGGGCATGGGCTGAGTGCGGCCTGGGGCTTCCCTCTGGCTGCTCTCCTGGAGGACTGGCGGCCCTCAGCTCTGGGATGGGGCATTCAGGTCTTAGTTCTGGGAGGGCCTCTCGCCCTGTCTCTCCAAGCATCTGACTCTGCTGCCCCCTTGGGTGTGGCCCCTCTCCAGTGCTAAGGGCTGGGGAGATGATTGATAGCCCCCAAGCCTGCCTGAGCTTGCCAGAGGCCTCTCCTCCCCCCTAGCCCCGGTCACCATCTGCGGCTCTGTTGTGGCGTTGGGTGAATGGCCCTGGCCCCCTGTGGCATGAAGCCCAGCCTGCCAGGGGCTGTAGGCCAAGGAGGGTGGGAGGAGGGCAGACAGCTCGAGCCTGGGGCCTCTAACTCCCAGTTGCTGTCTCTCCTCAGGCCTGTCCCTGGCTCAGCTGCTGGCCATGCCCGCTGTCTGCCTCCTCCCGCTGCTCTTCCTCACTGTGGGTGGGGGGCTGGGCAGCAGCAGGCCCTTCCGTGCCTTTGTGGTGACAGATACTACGCTCACCCACCTGGCCGTGCACCGAGTGACTGGGGAGGTGTTTGTGGGTGCCGTGAACCGGGTCTTCAAGCTGGCACCGAATTTGACTGAGCTGCGGGCCCATGTCACGGGACCTGTTGAGGATAACGCTCGCTGCTACCCGCCCCCCAGCATGCGTGTGTGCGCCCACCACCTGGTGCCCGTGGACAACGTCAACAAGCTGCTGCTCATAGACTACGCAGCCCGTCGCCTGGTGGCCTGTGGCAGCATCTGGCAGGGCATTTGTCAGTTCCTCCGTCTAGATGATCTCTTTAAGTTGGGCGAACCCCACCACCGCAAGGAGCACTACCTGTCTGGGGCCCAGGAGTCTGACTCTATGGCTGGTGTCATTGTGGAGCAGAGCCAGGGACCCAGCAAGCTGTTTGTCGGTACTGCCGTGGATGGCAAGTCCGAGTACTTCCCCACCCTGAGCTCCCGCAAGCTCATCGGCGATGAGGATAGTGCAGACATGTTCAGTCTGGTGGGTGAGCCATGCCCATCCGTTCAGTCCTTCTCCCTGCCGCCCAGCCCAGCCCCTGCTTAGTCCCTCGCTCCTGGATCCACATCTCAGGAGACCCCTGGTGTGAAGCTCACTTTTGGCCCTTGACTGTCAGGGAGATGTGAGCCAGATGCTCACATTGGGTAGAGGCTGGGTTGGGTAGAGTCTAGCTGAGGGGAGCCCTGGCTGCAGGGAAGCCGGTCACCTTGCTCGGGGTCTTGCTGGCCTCGCTTGTCCAGGCAGGGCAGGGGCCCAGCGGGCAGCTCCTACTGCAGCAGCTTGTTGCAGCAGGGTTGGGTGGTAAAGGTGGGTGGGGAGGGGACCCCTGGCTTCATCCCCTTTGTACTTCACCCTGCTCCCCTAGGTGTACCAAGATGAGTTCGTGTCCTCTCAGATCAAGATCCCCTCAGACACACTGTCCTTGTACCCTGCTTTTGACATCTACTACATATATGGCTTTGTCAGCGCCTCCTTTGTGTACTTCCTGACGCTGCAGCTGGACACCCAGCAGACCCTCCTAGACACAGCAGGCGAGAAATTCTTCACATCCAAGATTGTGCGCATGTGCGCAGGGGACTCAGAGTTCTACTCATATGTAGAGTTCCCCATTGGCTGCTCCTGGCGTGGCGTGGAGTACCGCTTAGTGCAAAGCGCCCATCTGGCCAAGCCTGGCCTGCTGCTGGCCCAGGCCCTGGGTGTGCCGGCCGACGAAGATGTCCTTTTCACCATCTTCTCCCAGGGTCAGAAGAACCGGGCTAGCCCACCTCGGCAGACCATCCTCTGCCTCTTTACCCTCAGCAACATCAATGCCCATATCCGCCGCCGCATCCAGTCCTGCTATCGTGGGGAGGGCACGTTGGCCCTGCCCTGGCTGCTGAACAAGGAGCTGCCGTGCATCAACACCGTGAGCCCCTTGCCCACCCCACACTCTCCCCTGCCTCCCGCTAGAGCTTGGCAGCTCTGCTGGCCCTATGCCCCTTTCCTCAGGTGGACATCTAATTTGGGGCTTAGCAAAGCCATGAGAGTGGCAAGTCCATCCTAATGCTCGTTTTCCTCTTCTCAGGACTTCCACACTATCTCTTTCCCTCTCTTCTTAATGTCTTTTTTTTTTTGGCGGCCGTGGGGCTTGAACTCTGGGCCTGGGCGCTGTCCCTCAGCTCTTCAGCTCAAGGCGAGCGCTCTACCACTT